AGGAGGAGGGGGGGAGGAGGAGGAGGAGGAGGGGGAGGAGGAGGAGGAGGAAAAGGAGGGGGAGGCAAGGGAGGACCGTGGTCCACCCACGCGCCTCTCGGGGAGCCCCGCCGCCGCTCTGGCTCAGCGTCGGCGCGGGCGGCACGGCCTGCGCCGCTGCTTCGCGCGCCTGCGCGCCTGCTCGCGGTGGCCAACGAGGCGAAACACGCGCACAAAAGGGACGGGAGCGGCCTCGAAACTGTGGTGCCTTGCCAGTGAAAAAGGAGAGGGCAGGGAATGGGAGCTAACGCGGGATTGTTTTAGGACCTTTCCGGGCCTCGTTTGCCTGGCACCTGCGCGCGGCAAGTCAACGTTTCGACAGCGCCACGGGAAGCGCACCTCTGGCTACCGGCCCGTTTACTGACGCCCCGTCTGCAAGGGCGTGAGCAGTTGCCGGCGGTCGCGGGGCAGGTATCGGACATGGCAGCCCGTCTCAGGCGCGGCCCCGCCTCTGCCGCCCCGGAAGAAAAACAACACATATATGAGCATAAGCCTTCTGAGTTTTGCACGGATCTGTTGGCTTGGATGGGAACAAAAACGCGCACACAAACGCCCCCCCCCCGTGGACTGGATTTTGTCCGTTGTTGGGCGCCTGCTTCGAGCAGGCGGCGTCCCCCCCCCCGCAGGACGCCCTGCTGCAAGCAATCACATTCCGAAGAGGTCCACTGCCAGACCCCGCGCCTGATTCGAGCAGGCGGAGCTCCCCCCCACGCAGGACGGCTTGCTGCAAGCAATCGCATTCCGCAAAGGTCCAGGGCCACGGCCCTCCCCCTATCTCCCATCCCTTCCACCCAGGGTTGAAGCGCCGAGTATATAAAAAGTTTCACCACCTTAGGATTGCGCGCGATCCCCTCCCTACGAAGTAAGTCCACGCGGAGTGCTCGGTCTGCGTACGGATTTACTCCGTCTGGATTTTGCCAGTCCTGATAGGAGGCGGAACCCAGAACTGCGTGCCCCTGAAAATAACCCTCGGTGGATCATTCATGTCGGGGTCCTGGGGGGATGATTAACGATTTGTCCAGGCAAATCGTCCGTTGGATGCATGGCGAGGAAGAAGGAGGTCGGCGTCGTCGTAGTCGTCGTCACACGAAGACGACGGCAACGACGACGACCTAGCCCAGCAACACATATCACAACGAGGGAAGTGGAAATGTGAGAGAAGGGGAGGGGATGAGTATGGGTGGGAGAGGAGTGAGGCCTTAGGACGTGGTCTTCCAAAACGTTGGATTATGGAGTAAGCCTTTACGGAGTGCTCGGGCTCCGTCTGGAATTATTTCGTGTGGGACCCGTTTCTCCTGACTTCCGCACGTTGCAAAAGGCGAGGCGGAGGACGGTGCACTGCTGCCTGCCCAGCCTGCCCCGTGGCCACATTTTGGGGAGGGCGCCTCCCCCGATTCATGGATTTGGCGACCGCGCGCCAGATCCATGGATCGCGATTCCATGTTGGCGCGCCCCTGATAATTGCAAACAGAGCGACCGTATGATCCGCGTGCTGGCCATTTGGTATTTTGGTGGCCGGCGCAAGATACAGTCCCATTCCAGGGTCTGTTGCACGGTGCCCCCGCCAAGTTTTCGCGGTGGCTGGGGCACCGTGTGGGGACGGTTGTTTGTGCCGCTCCAGTTTCTGGCACCCGCCGTGTCCAGTGAGCAATAGCGAGCGGCTCCTACCTCGGTTGCAGGCACAGCCGACGGGAAGCAGGTGGGCTCAGCCGTGTGGCGTGGCACCCGCGAAATGTTTGTTGTTGGGCAGTCTTCCGTTGCATTCTCACCGCCAGCATCGGTTCGCCCCCGCCACAGTTGCCGCAAACTCGTATTTTTTCTTATGTTCCTCGTGTTTTTCCTGGTCCCCCTCAACCTTGCCCTTCCTTCCCTCACCTCGCCCCTTTGTCTTTCTCGTCGTCGTCCTTCTCCTCTTCGCCTGCTCTTCTTCCTCGTCATCCTCGGTGTCCTCCTCGTTCTCCTGAGTTTGCCCCCGTTCTCCTGAGTTTGCCCCCCTCCTTGGTTTCGTCGTCATCGTCCCGCCGTCCTCCCTAAAGGGTCCTCAGCTTTCGAGACTGCCACACCACGGGGCCGTGTGTATCTCCACGCTGCTACAGGAAGCAAGTTCGCACTCGTGCAGGCACACAGGCTGAGCGCACGAAGGGGCGCAATCGGTACGCAAGGGGTGCGAGGGGTGCGAACGAACAGGTGCCATCCGGGGCCAGCCGTTGCGTTCCTCGTGTCGTGGCCATTCGCAGGGCGGCGAGCGGCGGCGCTGCTTTTGTCCCAGCGCCCCGCCGTGTCCAACTACGCCATGGGTACACAGTCCCAGACCTCCCACAAGGTCCCATCCATATTCCCATCCGCCCGTCGTTAAAAAAAATATCCAGGCGAAAGACCCAACCATATGCAGTTGTGAATACCGCAATTGTGAATACCATTTTCGCCCGCGCTCCCTATGTGGCCACGGCTTCCCGCCGGAGCCCGACATGCTCAGGGACACGTTCGTGGCCGTCTTCGCGGGCGCACGTCGACAAGGCGGAGTACGACGCCCAGGCGCGGTTGTTGAAGCAACACAACCATGGGGCCGCGATCCTCGTG